GGTCAAAGCTGGCCGATTGACAGCCATCTGACTTTTTGGCCTTACTACTATATTTCCACAATTTATGTACCATTTTTATTCGTATTTGGCACATACATCATACATATCAGTGTGTTTCATAATCAGATCAAAGATGGCCGAATAACGGCTGTTTTAATTTTTGGCCATATTACTACTACACAGAACAGGTGTTTTGATGTAAATAAACAATCTGTTGTATACGCCACTTGGAACTCAAGTTTCAAGAACACACTCGCGACAACCCCTCCGCTTTAATATGACGAGCACAAAGAGAACTTTCAAACATTTAACGAGGACTGTGTCATTTTCAATGACTTGTTGTTTATTAATGTTAAGCCCATCTACAATCTTGGCACATGTGAGCTGTATAAGAAGTCTGTCTACAATCATGGCACATGTGAACTGTATTAGAAGCTCATCTACAATCTTGGCACATGTGAACTGTATTAGAAGCCCATCTACAATCATGGCACATGTGAACTGTATTAGAAGCCCATCTACAATCATGGCACATGTGAATTGTATTAGAAATCCATCTACAATCTTGGCACATGTGAACTGTATTAGAAGCCCATCTACAATCATGGCACATGTGAACTGTATTATAAGCCCATCTACAATTATATCACATGTGAACTGTATTAGTAACCCATCTACAATCATGGCAGATGTGAATTGTATTAGAAACCCATCTACAATCTTGGCACATGTGAGCTGTATAAGAAGTCTGTCTACAATCATGGCACATGTGAACTGTATTAGAAGCTCATCTACAATCTTGGCACATGTGGACTGTATTAGAAGCCCATCTACAATCATGGCACATGTGAACTGTATTAGAAGCCCATCTACAATCATGGCACATGTGAATTGTATTAGAAATCCATCTACAATCTTGGCACATGTGAACTGTATTAGAAGCCCATCTACAATCATGGCACATGTGAACTGTATTATAAGCCCATCTACAATTATATCACATGTGAACTGTATTAGTAACCCATCTACAATCATGGCAGATGTGAATTGTATTAGAAACCCATCTACAATCTTGGCACATGTGAGCTGTATAAGAAGTCTGTCTACAATCATGGCACATGTGAACTGTATTAGAAGCTCATCTACAATCTTGGCACATGTGGACTGTATTAGAAGCCCATCTACAATCATGGCACATGTGAACTGTATTAGAAGCCCAT